CCCCATCATCTCCCCCCCGTTCCTCAACTTCCCAAAGTTTATTGCTCTCCCCTAAACCCTCCACCCAGTTCACCACTGGAGGATGCAAGGCGGAGCTAGAGGCAGGGTCTTCGAGTACAATGCTGCCACTCCACTGCAATGCTGCCACTCTGCCAGACCCTTTGTCCTCAGCCCTATCTCTCCTCGACCTCCTTCTCCCCCTCTTTCCACAGCTCACCACTGGAGGATGCAGGGCAGAGCAGGAGGCAGGGTCTCGATGTACACACTCCACTCGTACCCACTGCTCCTCTCTCCAATCTCTCCTCCTCGCTCAGCTCATCACTGGAAAATGCAGGGCGGAGCACGAGGCAGGGTCTCAATGTACCCACTCCACTCGTACCTGTTTCTCTGCCGTTCCCAGTGCTTCCGTATCAGCCCCTCTTACCTTCTCTTCCCCCGCGTTCCTAAACATCCCAACTTTCCTCGCTCTCCCCTAAACCCCAAACCCCACTCACCACTGGAGGATGCAGGGCGGGGCACGACGCAGCGTCTCGATGTACCCCTTCCACTCACACGCCCACCCTCTGCCAGTCCCTATTTCCTCAGCTCAGCCACCCCCCCTCCTCTCATCCTAACTCTCTTTCCCCCAAGCTCACCACTGGAGGATGCAGGGCGGGGCACGAGGCAGGGTCTCGATGTACCCACTCCACTCCGATGCCGCCCCTCTGCCGGCCTCGCTCAGCAAGTAGACAGCCAATGCCGGCCAGTCCGGCACGTTGGCGGCTTTAAGTAGCGCGCCCACGCGGGGGCAGCTGTATACCTGAAGCGAGGGTAAGGAAAGTGGCAGGGGGAGGAGAGAGGGGAGGGGGGGGGGGGGGGGGGGAGAGGAGTGAAGGAAACGGAAGAGGGTCGCTTGTGAGAAGGGGTCGGGGAAAGGGGGCGAAGGGGAAGGGGCGGATGTGAGACCACGTGATGATGATTCTTCTCTGAGATGTCTCACAACGGCCTTGAGCAGCGTGCCCACGTGGGGGCAGCTGTACACGTGAGAAAGGGGTGGGAAAAACGGGGCGAAGGGAAAGGGGGGATGTGGGGGTGACGGGAAGGGAAGACTATCGCTGGTCAAGTGCTGGCCTACTGTGGACCACACTGTGGAGCGAAAAAACTGAGTCGTTTTGGAGAATTCTCAACAGCGAATGTGATGTGGGGCTGAGGGGGAGGGAAGACTAGCGCTTGCCAAGTGCTGGAATACTGTGGACTCCACACTGTGGAGAGAAAAAAGCTGGCCACTCATGCACCAAGAGTGCGGTATCCTCTCAGCTGTTGCTGTCATCGCATTGAGGAGATCACCAGTCTCTCCAGGGTTGTTATAAGCACCCCACCGACTCTCCCGTTGCAGCAGATGCTTCCGTACCGTACCCTCTCGGTTGCTGCTGACATTGCATTCAGGAGATCACCAGTCCCTCTCGGGTGGTCATACGCACCTTACCGCCTCTCCCGTTACAACCACCCTAGGATTGCTCCCTTCCCAGTCACTCGCCGTTCCCGGCTATAATCAACGCACCGTTTCTCCCGTTATAAGCAGCTTCTCGGGAATGTTCAAGATGCCCTCCCCTTCCCGATGTTTTCCGTCGCTACGAGCCCCCGCCCGCCCTCCTGCACGAGCCGCAGCGCCATCTTCTGCTGCGGCAGCCCCTTCACCCGACCCGAACCACGTCTCCCACCAAACCCCTCCGTATAATCACCCACCCTCTGCATAAACTCACCGTATCTCCTGTTGCAAGATCTAAACTCGCTGTTTCTCTCACTATAAGCACCACTCAACGCACCGTTTCTCCCGTTATAAGCAGCTTCTCGGGAATGTTCAAGATGCCCTCCCCCTTGCCGATGTTTTCCGTCGCCACCAGTCCGCGCCCGCCTTCGCGCACGAGCCGCAGCGCCATCTTCTGCTGCGGCAGCCCCTTCGCGCGCAGCCATTGCTCCAGCGAGTCGAGATCGCGCGCGGACCGCCCGTCCCACCCCCACGTCGCCACCGCCTTCTCCTCGCGCTTTAATTTCCTCGGCGGCGCGCGCCGCTTCTTCTTAGGCGCTTCGTCTACTACTGGCTCTGCTTCGGTCCCTGCCGCTGTCGCAACCGCCACCGCGGCATCCGCCGGAGCCTCCGCGACTGCAGTGGTGGCGGCGGCGGCGGCTGATGCTGCTGAGGTAGAATCGCCAGCTGCTGACTCGGACGACACGTCAGCGTCAGCGGAAGCAGCGCGGACTGTTACGCGCCCGAGGCGGGAAGAGGCGGGGAAGGAAGAGCGCAAGGGGGAGGCGGCAATTGCGCGGAGAGAGGAATCCGCGGGAATAGCGCGGAGTTGTTGGGCGGAAGAAGGGCTCGTTGAGAGCGGTGCAGGCACCGAGCCGGCCGCAATGCGGACGGCGGCGGGCGTTTGCGCCAGGAGGGAAAGCGAGGCGGCCATTGGACCGCGATCGTTCAGTGAGCGACACGTGCACGGACGGTTTGTAGGGGTAACAATTGCTGTAGACCGTAAACCGGATCGAGCGACCGTCGTTTAAAAAAAGTAGCAAGGATACAGAACTAGAGCTTGCAAAGCGAGGGAGCGGCGAATTCGTCCGACGAACACAAGGATCCAGGAACGAGTTCAGCTCGTTCTGGATTCTGAGAGCCGTGCGTTGCAGCAAAATGCTTGTGTGCGGCAAAAAGAATGGCTGCCAGAGTTGTCAGTCAATACCCACCCTCGGAATTCTGCAAACCCCAAGTGGATGCAAGTTCCACGTTTTGAACGGTTTGTTATGGCGCCCCTTGTTCAGGTACGGTAATGCAAGATCGAGTGTTGTCTCACTGTTTTGAAACGCACCAAAATGCATCACGAATGATCGATCAGGTTGGTTCATTTCAGCAACCCAATTCCGCTGGGCAGGGGAATCGATGTGGAAGCACTGTCCACGTGGAAGCGTGCCAATGGCTTCCTTGATCGCCTCTTACAACTTCCGTAGCGCAATAGTATTTCCTCAAGGGCCTTGGAGCGGACAACCCCCCATTGACGATCGTTGATTAAAGCCCGAGTCCCAAATTGCGAGGCGTGTGGGTCATGCTTTTAAAACTTGACGAAGTGCAGTGTGCAAGCTTTGAAAAGTAGCGCACCTGCAATTTGGGACTTTCGGGTGCTGACACAACCCCCAGGGCGAAATACGTGGGCAGGCTGGGTTTGGCGAAAAAATCGATGTGCCCGAAATAGGAATCACTCGCCAAAACCCAAACCAGAAAAAACCCCTCGCGTCATCCTTTTAAAGCCAGCAGCTAAAATAGTGACCCCCCCCTTCTAATTGGGTCCAACTTGAAGACCCAAGTTTTTTTGTACTGTTGTGGAAGGTTGAAGTACTGTGCGTGTGTTTTTTTTCCAGCTCCAGTCAAGTTTCGGAGTGAACAAGGAACAAAAGTTCACTCTCAATTTTGATTGGCAGCCAAACAGATGTGCGAATTTGGCGCAAAGAGCTGCGACGTGCAAGGCAGCGCAATCATTTGACGAGTTGTGACGTCATCAAATGCACATCTAGCAACAGCACAGACAAGATCCCAAGCACACACATACACTGAAGAATACGAATAAGTGCAGCAGAGGCAGCGACGGGAATGAAGGGAAGACATTGATTGCGACGGAATTGGAGGGATATCGTGAGGGCGGGATGAAGGGAGGGGTGATTGTGAGGGCGACAGGGCTATGGCAGGGCGACGGGACGGACGAGATAGCCGAATCACGGCGGGGCTCGCTAGCAAATGCGAGGGCGAGGGGCAGCGAGAGGAGATGCGACGGGGAGAACGTGAGCGTGTGGGAGGTGGGAGGGGAGAGCGTGAGCGCGAGGGAGATGCGACGGGGAGAGCGTGAGTAATGTTTGAACACTAAGACCGAATGGTTCACCCGATGAAAATTTCTAACAGAAAATAAAACTAAGTTAATTCGTGGTTCCAAAAGGAGAGAGCCGCATAACCCACCATCCCAAAAATGTTCGGGCCAAAACCTCCCCCCCAGGTTACCCACAGCTTACCCCGTGGCGGGTGACCCCGGGGTCCTTGTCTAGGTAACCTGCGGGTAACCTCGGCAAAAACCACTTCGCGTGGTGACCCCGAGGTCACCCACAGGTGGTGACCCACAGGAAACCGCTCCCAACCTGTGGGAGCGAATCATACGCGAGCCGCTTCCTCGCTATGGAATACATCGCCATCATTAAAAGTTGCACCTACAGTACACGAAAGACCATACAATTTATTGACCAACATGCTATACGTAAAATAATTTTATTGTTATGGGCACAATTGAAATTGATTGTAATCAAATTATACGTTTTACGCCTATATTCATTTAGAGTTTGCAGATTTATGGGATTACCTTTTACAGACTGCAATATTAGCAATTCCACTATTCAATCATGTACGAATTGGAAGTGCGACAATACAGGAACTATTAACAATTGCACAGATATAACCTTCAGCTACGTTTTTATACAAGGACCCTAAATGTTTCATCAGCTTTGATTCCCCCTGGAGAATAAGCAATACCCTATGTATAATAGTTTGCTCCTGCACCACACCTGACAACGAACACAGAGAAAAACGAAACAGCAGCAACACAGGGCATGTTTCAGCGACATGGCGTCAAGCAGGATTCCTACCTCACGAATAAGGCAGCCTCCACGGGCATGCAGAGAGAGTGCAGTTCCAGAGTTCGAAATCAAAGCACTGGAAATTCCCACTGTTCGCGACTGCGTGATAGAACGTCACCGTAGTCTGCAAAAACGATGGCGACATTCAGACGAAGCCACGGAACAAGCGCTAAGTGAAAGCGGAATACGCTTAAGCGCAAATGTCAGGGTTACAGATAAGCGCGCACGACTAACGTGCCTCACATTAGATCTTCGCGCACGACATGGGGGATTGATGGACTCCCGAGCGAAGAGCAACAGAGCGGCGATGTAAAACTGCTGAAGCAAGAGAGACTTACTTACCTCGTAGTCACAATTTAGAGCTCCAAACATGAGCGCCTGGCACGAAGGTAGGCGATGCCTGCAAAGAAACACACATGGCTCGAGAAAACAATTAGAAATTGACGATGGAAGAACTCTTTGTCAATCGCCAGGTTCATGACGTTGCTTAGCGAGAAAGGGGGTGACGAGAAACTAAGCAAGTACAGTTCACCATAGCCTCCAGCAATGTCTACGAAATTGCAGTAGCGGAAAACGCGGGCATGGCGGCGAGCTAAGAGAAGTGAGAACTGGACAGCTTGAGAATGAGGGAAATGGGCGAGTTGAGGTGGTGAAATACATCGAAGTGAGAGAATGTTTTGTTGGAGTGACTTGGACAACTCTGATTGGTCCACAAAATTCTGGCAGCCACCTAGCGAGACCCATCACTTGAAACCTCAATATGGGGAGTCTCGATAGTACAGTTCATATAACAATGAACAAAAAACAGTTATCAAGTCTCGTTTCATTTGAATCGAGGGCGGTTTGGAATTCCCGTACGTCGCAGCCTCGGGAGAAGCAAAGTACTGTAGCGCCGAAGTAAACAGCCAGTGACGTTCCCGCCAAAGTTGGGGTGACCTTGGGGTACCCTCCCGAACTGTAAACTTTTCCGATTGGTCAAATGTTTGTTACCACGGTAGGTGCTAAGGTTGGCGGTCGTCGCTGACGTCGCCAGTGTCAGGGGGTAAGCTGTAGGTAACACAGGGGGAACTTGTGGGTCACCTTGTGAGGGTGAGCTCGGGGTCTCCCGCAATTTCAAAGTGATTCTTGCGTGTGGAATTTTGACGTGACGTCCCTTTCAGTGCCCAATGTCATCTTAAAGAAACAATTTAATCAGGCCCGGTAGTACTTCGAGCGAGAACAGCGAGAGCGACGTAGTAAGGAGAGAGAGGAAGGTTGACGGGAGAGAGGAGGGGCGACGGGAGAGAAGAGGGGCGACGGGAGAGAGGAAGCGCCACGGAGAGAGGAAGGGCGAACGGAGAGGGGAAGCGCGACGGAAAGGGGAAGGGCGAACGGAGAGGGGAAGGGCGAACGGAGAGGGGAGGGGCGAACGGAGAGGGGAAGGGCGAACGGAGAGGGAGGGGCGAACGGAGAGGGAAGGGCGAACGGAGAGGGGAAGGGCGAACGGAGAGGGGAAGGGCGAACGGAGAGGGGAGGGGCGAACGGAGAGGGAAAGGGCGAACGGAGAGGGGAAGGGCGAACGGAGAGGGGAAGCGCGACGGAGAGGGGAAGGGCGAACGGAGAGTTGAAGGGAGAACGTAGAGGGGAGGGTAATGCAATTTCTAATATAGATGAGTAAGGCCCAGAATCCAGCATACTAATGCAAGATTGTTTCATGAAACTGGTTACACCTTATATGAGAGTGATTGTTGCCTATTACGTTCGCTTCATGCATTTTTTGTTTACAGAATCTTATTGACTCGATTGAATTTCCAGTTTTTTTCTTTTTTTTTTTCTGTTAGCATACAGAGAAGGGAAGCCTGCAAGTACCGTACATGAGGAGGATGCTCTGGGAAGGCAGCCACCCTCACAGATCCGGTCACAAACACTCTCACCAACACCTCCTGGCACACCAGAACCAGGGGTGTAAGTATGGTCAGCTTGAGGCACAGTTAGACTGCTGCGCTGTGTGAGACGTTTCACAGGTCATGCAAGAATCACGAGGCCCAGGTAGACTGCTGCGCCGGCTAGAAACAGCGATATGACACCCCTGCAGGACAGATGCGCGAGGAGGGAAAGAGAAAGAAACGAATGCAAGTCGTTACAGAAGGAGTTGGTTGGAACCCAAACAAATACCGGTAGCACATTGCATGGGCTCCCTTTACAAGACTCTCACCTCGCCCTCCTTATCACGTGAATTACTATCCCCACACTATCATACCCAGCTCACACTGCTACAATTGTGCTCATCATCTCACCCGTCACATGCACTTCACAAATTCATCTCCCCCCCCCCCCTCCCCCACACACACACCCTCACCAATTCACCCCGCAGGAGGCGCCCATGAAAGGCCATAGGTGGCACAGACGCCACCACTCACATCACACCTACCACACAAGCACAAGTGCATCGCTTGACATGGCCTGGCTTTGGATCGACTCTAAAGCAACCTCATCTCCCCCCCCCCCCTCCTCCCCCTTAACACACACCCGCACCAACTCACTCCCCACGAGGAGTCCATAAAAGGCCATAAGCGGCACAGACGCCACCACTCACACCTACCACACAAGCACAAGTGCATCGCTTGACATGGCCTGGTGCTCACCAGATGACCCCCCAGCAAAGCACACCCCATTCAAGTAACTTGTGAGCTGATTAGAGAAAATCTCCTTCGAGGTGCCTCAATATGCTCCTTGAAAATGACAAGCTGTTGAAAATCTGGCGCTCAGATGACAAGCTGTTGAAGCAGCTACCTTTCGAGGCGGCTCAGGAATGCCCTTTGAGGCGGCTCAGGAATGCCCTTTGAGGCGGCTCAGGAATGGCCTTTGAGGCGGCTCAGGAATGCCCTTTGAGGCGGCTCAGGAATGCCCTTTGAGGCGGCTCAGGAATGCCCTTTGAGGCGGCTCAGGAATGCCCTTCGAGGCGGCTCAGGAATGCCCTTTGAGGCGGTCAGGAATGCCCTTTGAGGCGGCTCAGGAATGCCCTTCGAGGCCGCTCAGGAATGCCCTTTGAGGCGGCTCAGGAATGCCCTTTGAGGCGGCTCAGGAATGCCCTTTGAGGCGGCTCAGGAATGCCCTTTGAGGCGGCTCAGGAATGCCCTTTGAGGCGGCTCAGGAATGCCCTTTGAGGCGGCTCAGGAATGCCCTTTGAGGCGGCTCAGGAATGCCCTTTGAGGCGGCTCAGGAATGCCCTTTGAGGCGGCTCAGGAATGCCCTTTGAGGCGGCTCAGGAATGCCCTTTGAGGCGGCTCAGGAAGGCCTTTTGAGGCGGCTCAGGAATGCCCTTTGAGGCGGCTCAGGAATGCCCTTTGAGGCGGCTCAGGAATGCCCTTTGAGGCGGCTCAGGAATGCCCTTTGAGGCGGCTCAGGAATGCCCTTTGAGGCGGCTCAGGAATGCCCTTTGAGGCGGCTCAGGAATGCCCTTTGAGGCGGCTCAGGAATGCCCTTTGAGGCGGCTCAGGAATGCCCTTCGAGGCGGCTCAGGAATGCCCTTCGAGGCGGCTCAGGAATGCCCTACGAGGCGGCTCAGGAATGCCCTACGAGGCGGCTCAGGAATGCCCTTCGAGGCGGCTCAGGAATGCCCTTTGAGGCGGCTCAGGAATGCCCTTTGAGGCGGCTCAGGAATGCCCTTCGAGGCGGCTCAGGAATGCCCTTTGAGGCGGCTCAGGAATGCCCTTTGAGGCGGCTCAGGAATGCCCTTTGAGGCGGCTCAGGAATGCCCTTTGAGGCGGCTCAGGAATGCCCTTTGAGGCGGCTCAGGAATGCCCTTTGAGGCGGCTCAGGAATGCCCTTTGAGGCGGCTCAGGAATGCCCTTCGAGGCGGCTCAGGAATGCCCTTCGAGGCGGCTCAGGAATGCCCTTTGAGGCGGCTCAGGAATGCCCTTTGAGGCGGCTCAGGAATGCCCTTTGAGGCGGCTCAGGAATGCCCTTTGAGGCGGCTCAGGAATGCCCTTTGAGGCGGCTCAGGAATGCCCTTTGAGGCGGCTCAGGAATGCCCTTCGAGGCGGCTCAGGAATGCCCTTTGAGGCGGTCAGGAATGCCCTTTGAGGCGGCTCAGGAATGCCCTTCGAGGCGGCTCAGGAATGCCCTTTGAGGCGGCTCAGGAATGCCCTTTGAGGCGGCTCAGGAATGCCCTTTGAGGCGGCTCAGGAATGCCCTTTGAGGCGGCTCAGGAATGCCCTTTGAGGCGGCTCAGGAATGCCCTTTGAGGCGGCTCAGGAATGCCCTTTGAGGCGGCTCAGGAATGCCCTTTGAGGCGGCTCAGGAATGCCCTTTGAGGCGGCTCAGGAATGCCCTTTGAGGCGGCTCAGGAATGCCCTTTGAGGCGGCTCAGGAAGGCCTTTTGAGGCGGCTCAGGAATGCCCTTTGAGGCGGCTCAGGAATGCCCTTTGAGGCGGCTCAGGAATGCCCTTTGAGGCGGCTCAGGAATGCCCTTTGAGGCGGCTCAGGAATGCCCTTTGAGGCGGCTCAGGAATGCCCTTTGAGGCGGCTCAGGAATGCCCTTTGAGGCGGCTCAGGAATGCCCTTTGAGGCGGCTCAGGAATGCCCTTCGAGGCGGCTCAGGAATGCCCTTCGAGGCGGCTCAGGAATGCCCTTTGAGGCGGCTCAGGAATGCCCTATGAGGCGGCTCAGGAATGCCCTTCGAGGCGGCTCAGGAATGCCCTTTGAGGCGGCTCAGGAATGCCCTTTGAGGCGGCTCAGGAATGCCCTTCGAGGCGGCTCAGGAATGCCCTTTGAGGCGGCTCAGGAATGCCCTTTGAGGCGGCTCAGGAATGCCCTTTGAGGCGGCTCAGGAATGCCCTTTGAGGCGGCTCAGGAATGCCCTTTGAGGCGGCTCAGGAATGCCCTTTGAGGCGGCTCAGGAATGCCCTTTGAGGCGGCTCAGGAATGCCCTTCGAGGCGGCTCAGGAATGCCCTTCGAGGCGGCTCAGGAATGCCCTTTGAGGCGGCTCAGGAATGCCCTTTGAGGCGGCTCAGGAATGCCCTTTGAGGCGGCTCAGGAATGCCCTTTGAGGCGGCTCAGGAATGCCCTTTGAGGCGGCTCAGGAATGCCCTTCGAGGCGGCTCAGGAATGCCCTTCGAGGCGGCTCAGGAATGCCCTTTGAGGCGGCTCAGGAATGCCCTTTGAGGCGGCTCAGGAATGCCCTTTGAGGCGGCTCAGGAATGCCCTTTGAGGCGGCTCAGGAATGCCCTTTGAGGCGGCTCAGGAATGCCCTTTGAGGCGGCTCAGGAATGCCCTTTGAGGCGGCTCAGGAATGCCCTTCGAGGCGGCTCAGGAATGCCCTTTGAGGCGGCTCAGGAATGCCCTTTGAGGCGGCTCAGGAATGCCCTTCGAGGCGGCTCAGGAATGCCCTTCGAGGCGGCTCAGGAATGCCCTTCGAGGCGGCTCAGGAATGCCCTTTGAGGCGGCTCAGGAATGCCCTTTGAGGCGGCTCAGGAATGCCCTTTGAGGCGGCTCAGGAATGCCCTTTGAGGCGGCTCAGGAATGCCCTTTGAGGCGGCTCAGGAATGCCCTTTGAGGCGGCTCAGGAAGGCCTTTTGAGGCGGCTCAGGAATGCCCTTTGAGGCGGCTCAGGAATGCCCTTTGAGGCGGCTCAGGAATGCCCTTTGAGGCGGCTCAGGAATGCCCTTTGAGGCGGCTCAGGAATGCCCTTTGAGGCGGCTCAGGAATGCCCTTTGAGGCGGCTCAGGAATGCCCTTCGAGGCGGCTCAGGAATGCCGTTTGAGGCGGCTCAGGAATGCCCTTTGAGGCGGCTCAGGAATGCCCTTTGAGGCGGCTCAGGAATGCCCTTCGAGGCGGCTCAGGAATGCCCTTTGAGGCGGCTCAGGAATGCCCTTTGAGGCGGCTCAGGAATGCCCTTTGAGGCGGCTCAGGAATGCCCTTCGAGGCGGCTCAGGAATGCCCTTCGAGGCGGCTCAGGAATGCCCTTTGAGGCGGCTCAGGAATGCCCTTTGAGGCGGCTCAGGAATGCCCTTCGAGGCGGCTCAGGAATGCCCTTTGAGGCGGCTCAGGAATGCCCTTTGAGGCGGCTCAGGAATGCCCTTTGAGGCGGCTCAGGAATGCCCTTTGAGGCGGCTCAGGAATGCCCTTTGAGGCGGCTCAGGAATGCCCTTTGAGGCGGCTCAGGAATGCCCTTTGAGGCGGCTCAGGAATGCCCTTCGAGGCGGCTCAGGAATGCCCTTCGAGGCGGCTCAGGAATGCCCTTTGAGGCGGCTCAGGAATGCCCTTTGAGGCGGCTCAGGAATGCCCTTTGAGGCGGTCAGGAATGCCCTTTGAGGCGGCTCAGGAATGCCCTTTGAGGCGGCTCAGGAATGCCCTTTGAGGCGGCTCAGGAATGCCCTTTGAGGCGGCTCAGGAATGCCCTTTGAGGCGGCTCAGGAATGCCCTTTGAGGCGGCTCAGGAATGCCCTTTGAGGCGGCTCAGGAATGCCCTTTGAGGCGGCTCAGGAATGCCCTTCGAGGCGGCTCAGGAATGCCCTTTGAGGCGGCTCAGGAATGCCCTTCGAGGCGGCTCAGGAATGCCCTTTGAGGCGGCTCAGGAATGCCCTTCGAGGCGGCTCAGGAATGCCCTTTGAGGCGGCTCAGGAATGCCCTTTGAGGCGGCTCAGGAATGCCCTTTGAGGCGGCTCAGGAATGCCCTTTGAGGCGGCTCAGG